CCTCCTCCTCCTATTCCCCCTCCTCCTCCTTTAATAAATGGACATTCGCCATCTCTGGTACGAAGGCTTCTGTTGGACGCATGTTCCCCCATGCTCCCTTTAGAGCTTTGTGCCTCCCTGCCTAAGGTTGAGCCAATATAATATCCTTCAAAGTAAGTGCCTCATGCATTCGGCAGGCTTTTAGTCGGTGGTTTATTGTTCGGCTGCCACTTCTACATTGGCATGTCTGTCAGCTCCGCATTGACAAACTGCTTTGTGATGCCGATGCTGAACTTGTATATATATATATATAGTTGGCCAGCTTCTCTTCATTCTTTTCTTTCCCAATTATCCAAAGTAGTGGGTGGTTGGTGGGTGCTCTTGTGTGGTTTGCTCCTTGTTTCCTATCAAACATCTATCGTCTTTATTTTCCCTCCTTTTTGTGTTTGTTACTCTCTTGTAACACCTCTAATCTTCGGCACTTATATGACCTTATTGTGTTGCAAGTTCGTAAAACTCATACTAAAACTTAACTCTCCAAAGTAACAAAACTAACAAAGAGCCTTTGATTCCCTTCCTCAGAACCGAGAGAGTGTGGTGCCTCAGATGTTGACCCTGGCCCAAATGTTCGGCTCTGGCTCGGGCTATGTCGGCACTGACAACAACAACACGCCTCACAGTGACACGGACACTGAAGTGAGTAGGGCTACTTGCACTTTGCTTGTTTGTTTGTTTGTTTGTTTGTTTGCTTAACCATATCCGTACGGTACGTCGTGATTTACCATCGTATCCATACGACGAGGGGAACTCTCTGCCACCACTTTCCAAAGAGGAAATTTACTCGTTAATCTGTTCCGTCCGCTTTGCATAACAGTCGGTCAAAATTATTTTAAGAGAAATACTGAAAGTTTCAAAGAGATCTTCGCACTAGAAGTATTCTAAAATGTGAAGAATACAACCCCTGGGGTACAAAATGATCCCTGGGCGTAGGCTAGGTTTAATTTATTATAGTCATGTCGTGTCTTGTGAGAGTATGTATCATCCATTTGAGCGTCTTTTTGTTTTTGTTCTCTTTCTCTATCCCTGGCTCTCTTTTTCTCCCTCTCTCTCATTCACATATTATCTCTCTCTCTCTCTCTCTCTCTCTCTCTCTATCTCTCTCTCTCTCTCTCTCTCTCTCGCTCTCTCTCTCAATCGCATTCGCTCTTTCTCTCTGTCTTTTTCTTTATTTCTCCCTCTCTCTGTGTCTTTCTCTCTCTGTCTCTCTATCACTCTCTCTCTCTCACTCTCTCTCTCTCTCTCTCTGTATGTATTTGTCTCTCTCTCTCTCTCTCTCTCTCTCTCTCTCTCTCTCTCTCTCTCTCTCTCAAGTTCTCTTTCTTTATCTCTTCCCCTCTCTCCAACCCACATCCCTTTCGTTCCACAAACCAGTCTACACTCAAACCCACATCTACCCTCCAATGGCTCATAATGTAGATTTAACATCAAAAACCTGCTCGTAAGCCTGACTCCCAACCGCCACACGACGTAAGGCAAAGCAACTACAGCCATCTGCAAGCAAAAGCTAGATTGGCGAGCGGCCCCACCCGTTAGCGCAAGCATAATACTAAGTGCATGTTCTCGCCTCCCTCGTCCCTTTCGCTTTCTCTTTCGCTGTCAAATTTCCAGCACCCACGGTTTCTTCCGCCGATGCACTTTTACTTTTAGCCCCTCTTTTCACAGTTAAAAGCTTTCAGAACACTGCTCTATCATCAAATGGAATCCGGCCACCGCCCTCCATCACGAAAAAAAAAGAACAGGATGAGATACACGAAAACGTTGTTTTCATGCATGCAGGTTGAGCTGTATTATAATTCCTATTCTCTTCTTGACGCGATAACGTGCAATGTCCTCCTTTCGTGTGTTGAGTAAGTCAGTGAATGTCTTTAGTATAATAACATCCCTTCCAACCCTATTAAGCTATCATGTGAGAGGCAGGCGGTACCTCCAAGTGAAGTCCATCTACATTTGGTCGCTTTTATGGACAACTGGGCTAACCCAAATTTCGGGGGTTTTCAGAGGTCTTGACCTACACCAAAAGTGGGCATTGGCCTTCCTATAGGAGCAGTTTAGTTTCATTGGTGTGTATATTTGTTTGATGATAGAGAAAATTCTCCTTGTTTTTTAAAGAAACTGATCAGGGGTCGAAAAACTTGACCTTCGGTTTTTTTCAAAGCCACATTTTTCGGAATAGCCCCCTTGTGCAATAGCAACCAATTGGACCACTCGTGTTTTTGAGGAATATACGCAAAGTGGGATGCATGTTCGGTTCGAGTAAACGCCTCTGCCGAGCGCGAGGTGATGAGCCAATGGGCGGTGTCCTGTATGTTCTTATAATATGCTTCTGAGTGTCCTATACGTTCTTATGCATTCTAGGCGGTGTCGCATGTTCTGAACTGTTGAGTGGGCGAAGGCGGTTAGGTGAAATAAAAAGAAAAGTTGTGTGTGTGTGTGTGTGTGTGTGTGTGTGTGTG